ATTACACTGGACTACCCGAACGGTAGGTGAGTAGAAGAATACAAGAATAAGAGATACAATTCTATTTGCTAAGCTCTGAGTATCAAAATGCTAACACTTTACAATGTTCTTAACACATGTATTTATCCTAAAATGGGGATGGGTAAGCTGGACACGTGGCGGAATTCGGTAGGCTGTGACCTCTGCCACGTATGCACCCATGCTTCCATTTGTTGCTGCCATGCTCTAGCATTAAATGCGGCCTCCACTTGCTGACTACCCGTTCGGGTAGGCCGTTCGGTGTGCAGGACCCCGCCAGGGGTGTTTCGGTGCAATTGTTTCCTGAAATACTCCAAGTAGAAGAATTGTGCCGAATGTCGATCGGGTCTGGACTGCTTTGGGCCTTATGATTTCTCCTGGCTTCCTCATACTTCGGGCCGGGGGTATTGGGCCTGGACCCAATATCCCAACAACAATTATCTTCTCATCCTAAGGAGTTTAGTTTTTCTCCTATAAATAGGAGTGTTCTCGTTCATTGTAAAGACACTTCTTAAACACCATTACAACACTATTATCACACTCTCAATAACATAATCTATCACTAAGTGTTCATACTATACTTTCTATCCCTGATCTTCTGCTTATTTCCTTCCATTTTATATTATCGTACAATTGTACAATATTGTACAATATTGTACCAAATGGGCCCTGGAACAAAATTTCAGGGAGCATAAATTTTAAGCATGAGAAAGTTCCCGAAATAGGACTAAAACAGTTTGAAAATTTCAATATAGGACTGCTGATGGAGTATATGGCCCAGGGACCCCCGGCCCACAGACTCTTACTTCTCCTTCACAGGCCCAATGAGCCCAATACACGCCCAGGGCCCAAATACGGCGGCCCACGTGTCAAGAAGCCCACAATACGCATAGGGGTGCCTTCGGCCTATTTGGCCGAGGGCTCCAAATTACACAGGGCAGCCAGATTTGAGCATACAAAGTTACTGGGAGAAAATTGCAGAAAACAGGAGCCTTCGGCATTTTCGTGCCTTCAGCGTCTGGGAAGCCTTCGGCTGTACAGCGCCTTCGGGTACACAGACCCCTCGGCCGCAGGGGAAGCCCTCGGCCAACAACTCAATCATCGAAGATTCCATTTGGAGACAAGCAACCACAGCATTTAATGCGGCGTCACATCCACCCACCGCATTCAATGCGGTGCACATGCGAATGCTAGTGCCACCCGATTGAGGTGACCCCTCGGCCGTTAGATTGCTGACACGTGTACTCTCATCGCATTTATTGCTGCTATAAATAGCACCCCCTTTTCCCATTGTAAAGGACCAGAACATCTCGAGTTCATTAATACAATCGCCTCTCTCTCCTACTTGTTTGCTCTGACTTCTCTCTAGGTTATTCTCATAATAACCCCTCGGATAAGCTACCCCCGGGTACACTGTCCATCAACTGCCATGTTTTTTATTCCCAAAATAGGAGTAATTACTGCCATGTTTGGAAAATATTGCCATGTTTGAAGTCTGGTACTGCCAAAACATGGCAATAATTAGTCATATTTTGGGAATAAAAACATGGCAGTCCTATTTTGGAATTTTCAAACCTTTTTAGTCCTATTTCGGGTAATATTCTCTTTTAAGCATACCATTCATGGTAGGACTGAGTTTGATTCAAATGATTTGGCTTTTAGTTAAAATGAAATGCCAATCGAAGTAAAAAATTCAGTTCGGTTCGGTTCAATTTTATCTTTCGAAATTTGAAATCATCATTTGTTCAATTCGATTTATTTCGGACCAGTTTCAGTTTGTTTGGTTTTTGCCAAAATATTTTTGTTGATTAAAAACATAGTAATTAAAAACACCACATCAAACAATAATTGATAGCAATATAATATAAAAACTTTATTTAAAAAAAAACAAAAAAAAAACAAATGCACTTACAATCAATGAACTATAGAATGTATATCTCCTTAAACTAAAAAAAATAAAAGCATAAGTTTACAAACCTGAAGTTAAACTTTTTATTTGCAACAGTTTTGTATAGTGATTCATTTCCTTTTTACTACGGAGTAATATTTTTTATTAATGGTAACTAACTTAAAATAACTTATTTTATTTTTTAGACAATGTTTTTTTAAATACTTTATTAAGAAACATCAAATGAAAGTACATGAAAGAAATGCAGAAACATAAAAACAAACAAAAAAGAGACAAACAAGAGTAGAACCCAACCCAAAGTTGAAACTTTCCCTAGCCCTAAGTAGAATCACCCCCTAAAAACACCTAGCCCTAAGTAGAATCTTCAAAGACCCGCTCATGTTTGAGATCTAGTTCTCATCAGATGTGATCTCTGATTCTTCTTTTTATGCATTCTCTTTTGAGTGTTCAAGTTCTGTGTGGGTAAGCAGTTATCTCGTATGACCAACAAAACTTTTTGACAAATAATTTCATTAGTATCAGAATCCCAAATGTTATCTACCGTTGAAATAGGAAGCCTTTTCTCATTTTTCGAGACATGACCAAGGAATTCATCACCTGAATGTGTAGAGTATGATCCTCCAAAATCTTCCTCAAAAGTTGCATTAAGATTACCGCTACAGTCCAAATTTGCATAATCCCAACCAAAATCTGTGTGATCACCCGCAATGCCAATATTCCATGACTCTAAAACTCCAATGTTGTTATTATCAGCTTTCCCTGAATCATTTTGCGTTCGAGAAGATTTGTCAAATGGGTTTTATAATCAAATTGTCCTGGTTACCCAAAGCACAGCAAGAAGTTTGTCAATCTCATAAAGCAAAAAATGAGAAAGTGAATCTACCCCATTTGTCTGTCAAAGTGACTTGAAAAAAATCTTTAAGGTCGAAATGGTGCCGAATAGGACCAAAATTAACCATATATACTTAAATAGGACTTGAAACTTTTTAACTCCTAAATAGGAGTGTAATTTCCGTCAGTTCCATATTTACCCTTAATCCCTATTTCCTTTCCCTTCGGTCTTCTTTGTCGACAAAGTCGCGAATGAAATGAGGCGAGCAACTGCGCGGAAGCGGTGGCGGTGCTTGGCCGCGGACCTGAGCCTAAGACCTAAGGGACAATGGACGGCGCCCGATAACGGAGAAGATGATACAAATCTATCTTCTCCTCCCCCTCTCTTTCTCTTCTCCTCTCTTTCCCCTCTTCAATTCGGTCGCTGACTTGCCGCTCTTTTCTCTCTTCTGTTTCAAGCTTCTGCCGTTGCTCTGCTTTAGACTTTAGCATTGTTTTTCGGTCGCTGCTATGTTTTCAATGGTGTTTTGTTTATTATCCTTTCTAATTTCCCTTTTGAAATTGAAACCCAGTTCGTGTTGGCGGTGTTGCTCTAAAAAATTGTAACTAGATTTTAGCTTTGTCAAAAAAAAAATGGCTTTTACATTTGTGTTTGGTTTAAATGTTTATCGCTTCTAGTTTCCCTTTTCAAATCTGAACTTTAGTTTGGTTAGTTTAGTACTCCGTATCTATATTACTCCGTAATTGCTTCTGCCTTCGTCATTCAGATGTTGCTGCTGCCTGCTGACATGCTGTTATAGTTATTTTTTGTGGAAGGAAATATATTAACGGGCATTAATGTAATCAAAGGAAAGAATGTCACATATACAATATGGGGGAGTATCCATCCAAAACATAGAACTAGCTACTCTAGCTAACTAATGAGCAACTTTATATTGTTGACATTGTTTTTAACAATGTCATTGACATTAGCATTGACATTATCAAGATAGTCATTGACATTGGGATTATTACAATGTCATTTTATGTCATTGATAATAATATTGTCATTATAATTATTCGATATTGCGACATTTTACATTGTGACATGCATTATATGACAATGTAATATAATACCATTGTTTAAAAATCAATGTCATTATATGACAATGTAATATAGTGTCATTATTTAAAAATTAATGTCATTATTTAAAAGTCAATGTCATTGTTAAAAATCAATTTCATTATATGACAATGTAAAATATATCATTGTTTAAAACTCGATGTCATTATATGACAATGTAATATGATGCCATTGTTTAAAAATGAATGTTATTATATGACAATGTCAAATAATGTCGATGTTATAAAAACATTCTCAATGTAAATAATAGCAATGTTTTTGTACATTAACATCATTTACATTATTGTCATGAGAAAAAAAAAGAATTTTAAAGCTAGAAATAACAAACACCAATCCGTACAGCTCAGTGACCCTATTAATATGGAGATATTATTGACATTGCTTTTAATAATGTCATTTTTATAATATTGAATTGGCATTGTCACGACATTGTCGTTGACACTGTAACTGTCATAATGACATTTTTATAGCATTGACATCGTCAAATTTTGACATTGTGACATTATGACATTTTAGTGACATTGAAATTTTTATAAATTGTAACAATGATAGTGAAAAGTTTGATCCTAAAGAGGTTTGTCCTTCATAATGAAAATTATAATCATAAATGATTAAATTGTGACATTAAATTTGAACAACAAGAAACATCATTCTAATCTTCAATGTTTTAATACAAATTATGATACTACGTACTCGGTATTTGTGATATTTCTCAGACATTGTGTCATTTTCTAACAATGACATTATATTATATTATGTCATTGTTATTTGTGATATTTCTCTGACATTGTGTCATTTTCTAACAATGACATTATATTACATTATCATGTCATTGTACTGGGTAATAATTAATACTATGGGTATAATAAATTTGGACAATGTAATTCAATGTTTTGTTCAAAATAATGCAATAAAATTGAGCAAAATAAAAACAATGCTTTTAACATTAAATTGTGAGACAATTTTTATTATTTTATTATTAAAGAAAAATTTTACCAAAGTAAATAATGTTATGCTCTTCAAATATTAATTTATTCAGCCTTTCAAAAAATATTATCCGTAATTTATTCGCATGAAATTGCAAAATGAAACATAAAATTAAAAAAAAAAAAAGGTAAAGTAACATATAAGAAAATGAAAAGTAAAACAACAAAAAACGTAGATAACAGAGACTCTGTAAAGGGGAAGAGGCAGAGACTCAAACGGTTATTGAAGAAGATGGAGAGGAAGAATAAAAAAGAGAAGAAGGAAGTAGGGGGAGAAGGAAGAAGAAAGATTCAGCCAACTTTCTCTGGCGACGATCTTTGTCCTAACAGTGTCCGACGATTATCATCGGCACATCGGCAATGAACACATCGGATCTCAGATCTATAATGACGAGAAGAATTACTCCAGCTTATTCTCCAATTCAAACATTGTGGGGATGTTCATTGATAGCGAAGTTAAACACTGTTGGGATGTTCATGGAGAGCTGCCTTTTGGTTTTCTTTCTCATTCTGCACTTACTCGTCTTCCTCTTAGTGCTTTTCTTGTTGAGGCGGAAGCGCTGGTAAGAAGTTGCAGCAGGCGGCGGTTCGATGTGCGGTGGCAGCGTGATGTGTGGCGGCGTGATGTATGACCATACGGGAGGTCGCTGCATCTGTAAAGGCTAGCGGCAGTCAACTAGTTAAGGCCTGGGGTTATTTTTGTCCCGCACGGAAAAAGTAGTCCTATTTAGGATTAAAAAAACTCGAAGTCCTATTTGGGTTCCAGGCTCATGTTTTGGTCTTATTTAGGTCTTTCTCCCCTAAAAGTGCATAAGAATCGGGGATATGTTCAACACTGTGGACATCATCAATCGAAACCAGCTCAATATCGACTTGTAGTAATGCACCCGAGATGGAGGTTCTCGTTTCACAATAAAGATTATTCCCATCAAAGGGTAGAAATTCCAAGTCATTGGAAGCCACCTCATCAGAGAAAACCTTACCTGAAGTGTATGTCCAACAACCCCTCCTTTTGCAGAGAAAACCTCACCAGCCCGTGTTTTTGCATCGATTTCCTTCAACAATGCAATTGTTTTTGCAATTCCTGTAAGAAAAAGATGAATCCCCTGCCCGTTCCATCCCTCGGGTATAAATAGAGAGCTGCTTCCTGTTTCAATGATTTGGATAAAACCCCAAAGTAATTTTCATCATACCGAACTATAGGTGATTTATTCAGCTCTAACTTACTACAAGATTTATTATCAGAAAAAAATCTTGATAATGGAATCCTTTAGCCAAGTAAGCCTAGCAAAATCAAAGTCCAATATAGATGAAATTCCTTCTTTTGTTTCAGAAATGCGAATAGAAGCGCTGTCAATAACTTTAAATCGAAAGAATTTACTTTCAATGACGAACTCATCTGTGACAATGGGAACGGATAGGAAATCACCCCCTCCAACTTCCCACCTTGAAACCCAACTGAGCTACCATGTCGGTGTAGGGGATTCCAAAACTGCCGCTTCGAAGGCCAGAGTCGACTACGAGCTCCAATCGAAGAAACCTGAGATTCCCAGAAATTTCTTCCAGCAAATTCTGCCCCATGTGTAGTCACAGGTTCTCTGTTCTGCAAAAGGCGCCGCCGTGCCTGGTTGCCGGAGGAGAAACGGGATGAAACCTCCCCAGATTGGTGCCAGACTCTTGAAGGCTTGAAAGCACGCTTCTCCCATGGGATGTCACCGCCGCGACGATGAGAACCCCATCGCGAGTCAAAACTGCTCCAATGCCTTGTCCCTGTCAATAGTCCAATGTCCAACATGTCGTCACCGATCAAAAGTTTCACGGTTTTGTGATTAGTTGTTTGGGAATAATTGAATAGTTTATATGTTGTCTAATGTATAGTACCTCCCTCCCCCTAAGTTTGGGACAAGAGAAGGTGGCACAATTATTAATAAAAGTGTATTTGTGTGGTTGATATTGAATTGATAAAGTAAGAATAAAGTAAGAATGATTTAGAACCACACAAACTTTACCAAATAAGGTATGAGACAATCTTAGTGGGACGACCGAAATGATAAAATGGGACAATCATAGCGGCGGGACGGAGGGAGTATATTAGATGAATACATATTACTTATGTAGTTATGTAATAAAAAGTTGTGTTGTAACAAACAAAAGTTACTAATAATATAATAATAAAATATCATCTTCATGCAACAACATCAAACAAAATATAAATTACAGTTTAAAACATCAATATATTAATTTATAGCAAGAAATTAAAGTATATATATAAGTGTTTACTTAATTAAACTACAAATATCAAATGTCAAGATCTAAAAAATCACAATAAATCCAGTATCAAACATTAATTTTCTAGAATTAAAAATTAAGAACTAAACAAAATACAATACACAATGATTAATAAATAAAATAACATATTTTAAAAGTTAAGTTTGCTCAGTTTGATTAAGTTTTTAGAGGTGAAAACAAAAATCGAAACCAAACAATTATGATTTCATTCAATTTTTCAAATTTAGTTTCATTTTTATGGATTATTAGCTAAATATATCTTCAACTATCATCAAATTCACAAATCTATCTCATACATTCACTTTTATTAAAAAAAGACTCAAACTTCAACTTTTCTCACAATTATACTTTCAACGGATGAATTAGTACAACTTAAGAAGAAAATCATATTTATATTTCACATTTTTTCGCTTCTTACTAGTTTTAAGCTTACAAACTTGTATTGCTTATATCTTATTGGTATTGATAAAAATGTGTAATTTTGGAAAAACAAAAAAAAGCATAATTGATTAAAAGGATAAAGTTTGAGTTTTTTTTTTTGGTTATTGTCCTGAATGGGACTAAATAATTGCTCATATTCCCAAATAGGAGTACATAAAATTTATTCCCGAAATAAGATTACTATTCCAACTTTACCCTCCTACCTGCATCGTTCTCCTTCGTCCAGACTATTCCCGTCTCCCATCTCCCCACACCATCGATTCAACTTCTCTTCCCTTCTCCGCACATAATGCAATCTTCCCTTAGCAGATTAGGTTTTCTTTTCTAAATCTTAAATTCTTTTCCCCACACTAGCTTATCTTCTCCAATCTAGGCCATATTTCAGGTTACAAGATGGTGAGTCTTCGTCTCCAGTCATCTTCTCCGATTGGAAATTAAACCTGCAAAGTCAAGCTCTTCGATTGCGGCGGCGGCGGCTAGCATCGTCTAGCGACGAGCCGACAAGCATCAACGAGCATCGAGGGAGTGAGTATCAAATGCGATTCAGATCTATAAGTAGAGTAAAGTAGCTCATTCTTCTCCCTCCTCCTTCCTCCTCTTCTGTGGTTGTGCCTGTCTTTTCCCTCTTCCGTTTCATCGTACAATTGCCAAAACTTTCTCTGAAAATGCCATAAAAATGGCATTTTTTATTCTTCAAAAATTTTGTATTTTCCTTTAAAATTGCCATTAAGATGACAATCTCGATTCAAGTTGGCATTCTGTTGAAAAAGTTGGCATTAGCGGCGTCGGCAGCCAGATCTGCAGAAGTGGTGGCCGGATTTGCGACGGCGGCGTCCGAATCTGCAATGGTGGCTGCCGGATCTACATGGGCGGCAGTCGGCGGCGGCGGTGGCCAACTCAGCAGCGGCCAAATCTGCAGGGGTGGTTAGTTTTTATGCTGCGGTGGCGGCTGGTGGATGCCGCCGGCGGCTGTAGGTCTGGTGGTCTGCAGGTCCGCAGGTATGCTGGTGGATGCTGTAGTGTTTTTGTCAAGGTTCAGGGATATTTCTGTCCAACAACAAATAATAACTCCTATTTTGGGAATATTTAAACTTTAGTCCAATTTGGGCAATTGAGAACTTAATTACTCCCATTTAGGTAAATCTCCCTTTTTTTTTGACTAAAAGTGAAAGAATGAGATTGATTTGTGAATTTAATAATACTCCCTCCGTTCTCTATTAGTTGGCCCTATAGGGTTTGACACAAGTTTTAAGAGGAAAATAATAGGGGTAGTGTATGAAAAAGTAGGAAAGAGAAAGAGGATAAATGAGTATATTTATTGAAAAAACTTTCCAAAAATGGAAAGAGTGACAAATATTAGAAAACAACCCAAAATGGAAAGAAGAACAAGTATTAGAGAAGGGATGAAGTAATTTGGGATGAATTAAGCCAATAATGCTTTTTTTATTCGATTTGTTTTTCATACCGTTCGGGTATGTTTGGTTCAAGGAATGTCAGATTACCATGGGAATGTTAGATTGATGGGTATGTTAGATTGATGGGAATGTATTCAATTTGTACCCATTTGTGTTTGGTTGAGACTAAAGGAATGTGACATTAATTTGTTTGGTTAAATCATATATTATACAACAAACTTGGTGAATTACTTTAATGCCCTTAAAAATATTTTTTCGTAATACCCTTATTACAATCGTCGGGGTCTCGAGAAAGAATGTCTTCATCGATAGGAGCCTACGTTTTTCATCGACAAAAAAAATCAATGGACCACACGTCACCAATAGAATGACCTGATTATTCAAGGACTTAGGGGGCAATTAATTAATTAGATTAGGGGTAGAAAATTAATGGTTGATCCTACTTGGGAAATACCGAAATATTAGATATTGACTCCTATTTAAGGAAAAGTTGCATGTTATATTTTACTCCTACTAAAGGTAATTCACTATCAACCACTAGTGAAAAAAAATTAATGTTTGATCCTTCTAAATCATTCTTACATTATTCTAAATTTATTACTACCTCCGTCCCTTTTTTATTGGGACGGAAGAGGGTGACACGAGTTTTAAGAAAAGTGGGTTTGTGTGGTTGATATTAATTGATAATGTAAGAATAAAGTAAGAATGATTTTGAGTCACACAAACTTTACCAAATAAGGTATGAGACAATTAAATAAGGACATCCCAATATGGTAAAATGAGACATTTAAAAGGAGACAGAGGGAGTAATTCACTATCAACCACATTAACTCTTTTTTCTTAATAATAACACCACCTCCTCATATATTAAGTTATCATGATCATTTAACTTTAAAAGTTCAATATAAGTTATTATGGTCAAATTACTACTATAGTCACTTCTAAGAAAAGAAGAGATGGTAGAATGATTGAAGAAGCCAGAAGGGGGTTTCCTAGGCCGAGAGAAGGCGGTTGGACCAGACAAATGGATTCCAAGAGTGGGAGTGGAGGAGTGATCGTCACCAGAGAAAGGGAAAGCATAGAGAATCCCTTTGCTTTGAAAGTCGGTCAAGTATTTACAGGCTTTGGAATCGGCTGCGGCGTCGGCATTGGTGTTGGTCGCCCTATAAACCTTGGTTCGCCCCCCCTCCCCCTCCCTCTCAAAACTTTGGAATGAGCTTTCAAGATTTTATGAAACCCAGAAACCGCAAATGCCAGAAAGTTTCAAGTAATTGTTTTTACTCTGTCGATGACATTGAGTAGCCTTAGAACTAGAAAAAGATTTGAAGCCCAAAGACTAAATTTCATGAGATTTAACATAGACGCTATTTCTTTTTAGTTTGTGCTTGCAGGTGACTATATGCAGCAAGTTTTAAAGCTGTTTAGTCTTTAAGTTGTTCTTGATGCTTTCTGGTTTTTTCTGTTGTTTGTTGAGCCGGATGTTACTGAAGAAATGGCTGCATCATATTTGAATGCCAAAAGCAACAAGTGGAAGTAGATTTTTGAAACTTAGAAAGGAGACTCTTGCATTTCCTTCAGTTTGCATATTAAATATGTGGTGGTGCTGAAAGCTTGAATTTTTGAAGTGTCATTATCCTATTGAGGGTTGTGATTTTTCCCTCTTGCTTATTCTGGTTTCGGTGAAGGATTTGTGAAAGTTCTCAAAGAAATTTATCAATTTGATGTGATGGGATTATATTTTGTTCTTTCATAAGCATAAAATGTTGTTTCATTGCTTATGTTTTTTTTTATCTCCACAATTTACTTACTTAATACTTCGTAGATAACAATTAATGATCTTATTTCATGTATCAGCTGCAATACCAATGCTCGACCAAGTTATGGTTGCAACTAGAGGCGCCACAGATGCTTTCTCTTCCGTGGGAAGAAATGTCAATAAAAATGTAAGCCAATTTTTTTTTTCTTCTTCTTTGGGAATACACTTTTGTCAACACAATGTTTAGACCCCCATTAGGTTGAAATGCCAAGCTGCTGAAATTGATGAAGTTGCTAAAATTTTGGAAAGATCAAATAATAATAATAATGAAATCATATTTTCTTAATAGAATATAGAAATTGAAATATGATAATTAACTTAAAATTTCCTTTTTATTTCATTTCCGTAGCTTCAGTCAGAGAAGGAACTTCTCGTTTTTTTTGTTTTGTCTTGTATGCTTATTGCATTTTATAGTTGCGGCGTTTGGGGGCAAAAAACATTGAAGCTGGCATTGGATGTGGAATAGGCTTAGGCCATGGACTTGGAATCGGTATGTATCAGAAGATATTGATGTGTGTTTGATGCATTTTATCCTCAACATCGTTTTATGTAACAAATCCTATTGAAGTTTGATATTAGTGGAAGCTCTTTATCTGATTGCTATAGTCTATCCATTGGGGCTTATGTTGTTCATTCAGGATGTGGGAATTAACTGACTTTAAGACTCTAGCAGTGAATATATGCCTCTAATTAACTGACTTTAAGACTCTAGCAGTGAATATATGCCTCACTAAACTGTCTGCGCTTCTTTGTTATGAAGCAGCAGTCAGTCCATGCAATTTTGGACGCGATTTTCACTACGGGTCATCCGGAAACAGTCTCTCTATGCTTTAGTACAGGGGTAAGACTGCGTACATCCGACCCCCCCCTTACCCCACCGTAGGTGGGAGCCTTTGCGGCACTGGGGTAAATGAAAATGAAAAATGTTAACCCTGATTGCCATTTGTAGAAGGCTTACCTAGAAAGAAGTAATAAGCTACTGCGTAGTTTAAAGGAAGATACCCAGAACAGGGTATGAAACAGGAAAAATGACACTGAGATTTATTTTCTTGTGTTTGATTTCCCTCAGAAAATGCAAAGGAAAAGGAAACAGGATTAATGTTAATAGAAATTACACTAGCGATTATATTTCTCAGTCTTGCTGAAACTCATTTTATCTATATATTTGTTCTAGATAACTTTTCAAACCCATTTCATCTATTTATTTCTATTAATGAAGACTAAAAAATCTAAATATAATAATATATGGAAAAATAAACTAAATAACTAATCAATATTTGTAAGGACAAACATTAGAAAATAACTCAGCATTTAAGCCAGGATCTATAAATGTCACATATTCATTTATCACATTGCATTTAACCTAAACTACAGCTATTCATTCCATTATCTTTAATGTTAAACGGCAAAACATTGGTCATAAATGTCAGGTATTGCTGTTAAGCCAGGAGTGGTGCATAAGATTCAATCATGTCTCAATGTATGTATTCCTGTCCACGGCATCAATTTTTCCGGTTTTTAATAAAAGATTTTCTTTCATCAATTCACATAATACAACCTCCTAATTCATCAGCAACTTGCGGCAAAAGCTATGATGAAGTTTGGAATGTCCTTTGACTTGCCTTCTGTTACTCAAGGCGTTATTCCTAAATCTATTCAAAGTAGCAATCCTTTGGGAGATCTAATGGCATCAAAGCCAAAGGCCATAGAGAATATAAAGCCTAAAGATGGAAACAGAGGTTCTTTTGCAGGAAGTTCAGGAAAAAATCCTTTAAATAATGGTGCATCACATAGCAGTCAGACAGATACACTTATCAACAATTTCTTGAAGAATCCGCTCTTGAAAGATGGAGACAATGGCGAGAGTGAGCTGGTATGTGAGATGGTGAACTGAATTTCTTTCATTAATTTTGTGTTATGTAATTGTGGGGCATGAATCTTTTCTTGAACTGTAACGAGGCTCTCTTAATTTTATATATTGGATGGAGGAGTTCGGTGACGCTATCCACACCAGGAATATTTTCTCTATTTCTTCCTTGGAAGGTTTGAACAAGGACATCCAATGGTAGGGGTAGACACAGGTCTGGTCTGGCTCCATCTGACGGATTATTGTAACCAGAACCACCTTGAAAAATACAATATATGTTATGATTTGACCAAAATCAGGATCAAGACTGCCAATCCAGAACCAGACCATGCTATCTAAGGTTCCAATCCAATTCTATTCAATGGAGGACAATTACTGACGATTCCAAGGTCGAAATCAGGATTGCCATTAAAACTATAGTGTAAATCATGACTTGATGGTAGCAGGAAGCCAGGAACCCAAACTGCAGGTCTTAAGGACTGGAAACGTGTGGACCAACCCGGACCTGGACCGTGTCCACACTTAGAGCATCTTCAATGCTACAATGTGCACGATGCACATGTGGCATGAGAGGTAGCCACATAAATATTAGCAAATAAATTATCTCTCTTCTTATTTGAATGGTTCTATACATTTTTTGTAAGTTTTTCTCCACAATGTTAAGAAGACCGTGTAGGTGTTGACATTGTGGTTAACATTGCAGAGAACAACTTACCAAACTTGTATAAAATCATTTAAATAAAAATCATGCCACCTGTGCACATTGCAGCATTGGAGATACTCTTAGTCTGGTGTAAAACTTTGCTACTGTATGGTTTGTACCGTGAACATACTGTCAATATTGCTCAGCATTTTTAGATAATTAATTAACCCTAAATTTGGTGTCAATATTGTCACCATATTGGGGACTAATGTGTTGCTGCAGTTTGGAGTGCAATCTTTCTACTTGTCATTTTTCTTTGTGGGGAAAAATCTACCTGGTACTTCTGTAAAATTAACACTTCTTAAAATTCAGTATTTCATATTTTCAGGCTGAGCGCTTAAGGTCTGAGAACAACTTGCTTCACCTGGTAAGATATCCTCTTGACCAGTTTAGTTCACATGATGAAAAATTTAATGGGCATGCCAAATTGTTAGCTGTGGAGCATGCTACTGAGCATGCTACTGTATTGGCTAAGTAGGATGTAGGAAATGGACACCTCAGAGCTGAGATGGGTATATTGTGCTCGACCATCTCAGTAGCATGGATCATGCTAACATGTTTCATATGTTTTCGCATATCACATTTGGTGATCTATAATATATACTCCCTCCGTCCCGAAATGAAGTTCCCGGTTTGACCTACACACATATATATGTAAGATAGAGTTTTGTTTTGACTTTCCAAGTTTACCCTTACTTTATGTCAAATCAAACAAAAAGTGAGTAAAAAGTAAGGGTAGCTGTGACTTTTGGGATAAAAGTATTTTCCTTTTATAGAAATGAGAACTTTTATTTGCGACATCCATAAAAAGAAAGTGGGAACTTCTTTTCGGGGCGAAGGTAGTGTGTGTGTATATGTAGGGAAAATTAATTTGAAATCCCCGTAATTTGTGAGGTCTGAACTCAACACCCAATCTTGCTTACGTGAGATAAATACCATGAACTTTGTATCATAGGTGTGATTATTTATCTCACGAATGTGAATTTCGGATGCTTATAGTGCTCATTTCCGAATGTTCGAAGCATTAACTGTGCATTTAGAATTCTACTTCCATTTCATCATCATCATCATCATTATGCAGTGCCGCAAAGGCTCCCACACTTTCGGTGGGGTAAGGGGGGTCGGATGTACGCAGTCTTACCCCTGTACTAAAGCACAGAGAGACTGTTTCCGGTTGACCTATAGTGAAAATCGCGTCAAAAATTGCATAGACTGACAGTTGCTTCATAACAAAGAAACGCAAACAATTTAGTAAGTTATTTTGCTTTATTCCATCATATTCCCAAGCCAAAAAATAGTGAGTCTTTGGCTACATTGCGAATGATGGAAACAATTATAAACATGCATTTATGAAAGAAAAAAATCTACATCAATGGCGCTAAGATCACTTGTAGTATAAAGCGCAAGATACTTATTTCATAGAATTGTTTGGAGAAATGGGTTCGCACATGACCCAAATTTTGTGGTATTTAAACTGAGTATCCCTTTATATATGACAACTCCTTTTTTTACTGTATATGACAACTTCTTCTGTCCCTAAAAAGCTGTGTTTATAGAGAAAATAGTACTTTATGGCTTGAAAACATTGAGTTTTAAGCCTTACTTAGTGATGTAAAAAGTACTTCATGGGTTTGTGTGCATGCTTTTGCTTTGAAAATTTTGAGGTTTGAAAACAACGTGTTGGTTGAGTGTTTAGTGTGTGATTTGATAAAACGCCATTTTGTGAAGTTAGTTGCTGAGGGTATATGTTGGGGAAGGCAACTGAAAAAAGAGGTAACATTAGAGGAGGGAATTTGAAATGAAAATGGTGGACTGAGATAACTTGGTTGCATTCAGGTGTTGAAGCACCAACGAGTGATTGATGAGCTGATGCAGCAAAATGAGAAACTGCGCGAGATACTGGTTGATGATTTGAAGGTACCACTCTCCAAGCTCCAAGGCACCATCTCCAGTGGAAGCAAATCTCCATGCATTGATTGCCGTAGAAAACAACGAAGAAGACGGTGAATAAAAGCTCCAGCTTTGGCTCGCATCCTTTTGAAAGGCATATATATTGATGCCTCAGAAGCCATTGAAAATCTTTCTTAGGATAAGGTGGGATTTATATGTAAGCCAAAATATGCCATAAATATTACATGCGGTATACGGTAATTTTCCTTGTGAAAGAGAACGTATGCCAGCCACCCTTTGGAGTTTGGGATGGAAGGTGAACCCAATCTTGAACCCCAGGTGTAATTCCTTCCGTCCAGGACCTAAAAAGGAAAAGAAAATTAACACGTTGCTTTGCACATTGCAATGCACATCAAAGTTACTAGAAAATTAACATGCATCGTTTTTACACAATATGTATGTATGATGATTATATTGATTGTTCAGTGTTAGTACCTCGTTTGCCACAATAGTGTTTATCACAATATTTAAAGAAAAAATAGAAAGCATAATTAGTATTTTAAAGGGAAAATTTATTAAAAAGAGAAAGTACACCAAACAGTAAAATACATCTAAAAATGAAAGTGTAGCAAACAAAAGAATAGAAATCACTTTTACCTACAACTATCATCTTGTGAGCCGTTAAACTTTGGTTTGATGGAAAATGATACGGATTACGGAGAAAGAAGGTAGAAAAATGTTATTGTCATACGTTCGTACACGTTTTGTACTTTTTTTTATCATCAACTAGCCACTTGTATTAATTAATGAAATCATTAGCCATGACTTGCAATAGAGTCCGGAACAACATAAAAAACACTCATATGATTTGAGAGTAAAACATGTGCTCTAGTCAGAGAATGAGCTAGTGTTGGACTCGGGTCGTTCGGGCACGGGTCGGGCCTATGCCCGACCAGGCCGCCTGTTAGGAAATGTTGGGTCCGGGACCGGCCCGGGTAGCCACCGGGTCCGGTCTGGGTCCGGACCGAGCCTCTAACATTTTTTTCCCTTTTTCTAATTACCCCCGACCCCCCCCTCCTAACCCCCAACCCCCCAAACCACCCCAAATGGCCCAAAATACCCAGCCCAACCTGGGGATTTAAAAAAAAATTGAAACAAAAAAAAATTAAGCTCGGAACCGGGCCCGGACCGGCCGGGCCGGTTCATGTTTTGGGTGACCCGAGCCCGGACCGGAAACCCCTCGGGTCGGGCCTACCTGGACCGGTCACTGGCCGGGCCACCGGTTCGGGCCGGGCCGAAACAGTGCCGGTCCCGGTCTGGTTCCGGGTCGGGCCACCCGACCCGAGTCCATGACTAGAATGAGCTACACGATTCGCAGATTGTTTACAAAAAAGAGACTCTATAAGTACTCTTTATTAAAAGGATTTCCTTAATATCTTCCAATATTAAATCAATGTAAGAAAAATCTCCTCCTTGCCGAAGACCTTGGATTACTGAAAGTGCGTCTGTCTCGAATTCCACGTTCTGCCAGCCTGCTTCAATCGCCTCCTCTAACGCTTCCCTCAGCCCTGCCGCTTCCGTTTCCGCCGGGGACCAACCTGCTCTAGTTGAGATGCCTCCTGCCTTGATAAATTCTCCCTGCTCATCTCTTGCCACCCAGCCCCAAACTCTCTTATCTCCACTCGGGTTAACCGCAACATCTACATTCAATTTGATAACTCCCCTCTCCTGTCTATGCCATACCTGCTCTCTGCCGCCAGCTCTCTTATTCGAGTGATGGCCTGACTACTGAGCCTCCCTCCAATTGGTGATCATACTCATAACACTGGTTATGACTCCTGCCGACCCCTGCCATTCCTCCTTCCAAATCAGGGAATTTGGTCATAAGAGAGCAACAAATTTGCTCTTATGGTCATTGGTGGCAATCCTCAGATGTTGTTTAATCCAATCCTGCACCAGTGATGCATCGGCTGCTCTAGTCACCCCCGCTTGCTGCCATACTTCTTGGGCATATTCGCAACCCCAGAAAACGTGCTACAAATTCTCGGCCCCTACCACACAACTTACATTCCTCTGTAATCTGAACTAGGGGTAGACCGGGCCCGGTCCGGTTCCGGGTCGGGCCCGGCCGGGCTTGGATTGTTTTGGGTAAGGCCCGGGACCAGCTCGGGAGTCTACCAGTACCGGTCCGGTTCAATTTTTTTTGGAGTTTTCTTATTTATTCCACCCCAAACCCCTCGAAAACACCCAACCCAGCTAAACCCAGCCCAAACCCAAAAAAAACCAAAAAAAATATTAAAAAGCCCGAACCAGCCGGTCCCCAAATATCTAACCCCGCACCCGCTCCCTTAATCCCCCGGGTTCGGGCCCTGGGCCCGGTACCGGAACAGGTTCACTGGTCCGGTCCGGTCCCGCACAGTGGCGGGCCGGACCAGTCAGACCGGACCCGGGCCATGCTAATCTGGACCCCCTTCTTCCGCAAATTATCCACTATAGGTAAGGACCCATCTAGTACCTGCCAAATAAAATATCTAAATTTAGGTGGTACCTCAAGCTCCCATAATTTAGCCCAGCTATCCGCTTCTCCAGTTGGTGGCATATAAGTGAGCTTCTTGTAACAGCTTACAGAAAAATTGCCATTATTTTCCCCTATCCACCAAAAGCCATCCCTCCTGTATGCTGAACTAATAGGTATACTTAAAATTAAATCTATGTCTATTGCATAAAAAATAGAGCAAATTTTCTCTCTATTCCATTCCTTGCATGTATGATTCCTCAAGGCTGCTACATTCATATCCCGAATACCCGGAGGTCTGGCTGATTGGATCCGGCCTGACCCCTGCCCCGGTAGCCAAGCATTCGCCCATACCTGTACATCTCTTCCACTCCCGGACCTTTTGCGAATATTATTTTTCAAGATCTCTTGGGTTTCAAAAAAACTCCTCGAAATAAAAGACGGATTATTTCCAAGTTTAGCATTCAAGAAATCAATGTTTGGAAAATACCTCACCTTTAACACCCTGCTCATTAGACTCCCCCGACTCTGTGACTAGCCTCCACCCTTTCTTTGCTAGCATTGCCAAATTAAATTCTCTGAGCCTGCGAAAGCCCAAGCCACCTTCTTTTTTCGGCTTACAAAGATGCTCCCACCTGCGCCACCTTATTCCCTTATGATCAAATTTACTGCCTTTCCACCAGAATCCGTTCATGAGCTTTTCTATCTCATCACATAAATCTTTAGTCACTAACAAAACAAACATTCATAGCATAAGTATGGAGAGCTTGTACCACATTACGAATCAAGACCGCCCGTTCGGCCCCTGGAGAGAAATTTATTATTCCAATTTTTTATCCTGTTCATTATTCGGTCTCATAGGTAACCTAGTATAGCAGATTTATTCCTCCCCACTAAAGTTGGCAGCCCCAAGTATCGGCTCTGACCTCCCTCCCTTGGAATCCCGAAGAACTAACAACAAGCGTCTTTAACAGGCTTCCACATTCTGGCTGAATGACATAGAAGATTTAGTAAAATTAAAGATTATTAGCTTATTGTATCCCAAACTATCATAAAATTCACAAATCTATCCTATTCTTTGACTTTTATAAAAAAAAGACTCAAACTTCATCTTTTTCAACAATTATGTTTTTCTTTTATGTTTTTTCAAAATTACACATTTTTATCAATACCGATAGCGTAAGCAATACAATTTTGTAAACTTAAAACTAGAAAGAAGTGAAAAAATTGAAATATAAATATGATTTTCTTCTTAAGTTTTACTAATTCATCCATTGAAAGTGTAATTGTGAGAAATGTTGAAGTTTGAGTCTTTTTTTTTAATAAAAATGAAAGTATGGGATATATTTGTGAATTTTATGATAGTTGGGGATATATTTAGCTAATAATCCTAAAATTAATAACCTGTCCAGAAGCTCTCTCATAGTCCTGCAAAATACTTTTAATCACAGTACATTCGACATTATTAGCTAAAAATAAAAAGCTATCGTCTGCAAACAAAAGATGGGATATTTTTGGTGCCCCTCTGCACACATCTACTCCATGAATATATCCCCTGTCCTCCGCTCTTCTGAGTAAAGAGCTCAGACCCTCTGCTACCAGAATAAACAGATAGGGAGATAGAGGGTCCCCCTGCCGTAGGCATCTCTCAGGAAAAAATGAAAATAGGTCCCAGAAAATCCTTATCGAATTGAATATAATAGCTGACAGTCGTCACACACTCCATAACCAACGTCACCCACCTGCCATCAAAACCAGGGGTTCCAAACACCCTTTCAAAAAATTGCAACTAACCCGATCGTAGGCTTTACTCATATCTAACTTCATAGCCACATAACCGTATTTTCCAAAACATTTCCTCTTCAGATAGTGCTGTGTTTCGAAAGCCACAACCACATTATCTACTATAGACCTGCCTGGAATAAACGCACTCTGATATTCGCCAATCGAGTCTCCAAGAATACACTTCAACCGATTAGCCAAAACTTTAGAAAAAAATTTATAAACCACATTACACAGGGCTATCGGTCTCCAGTCACCCAGATTTTCTGGTTTATCTTTCTTAGGAATTAGAACTAAATTAGTAATATTTAATTCCTTTGAAAGAGAGTTGGAATAAAAAATACCGGAGCAGAGGCATGATACTTCGGGACCCACAATGTCCCAATAAGACTGAAAAAATGCCGGATTCATGCCATCTGAACCTGACGCTTTTTCGGGGTGCATATCAAACACCGCTGACTTCACCTCCTCCGGGCTAATAGGTCGTAGCAACATTCTGTTCTGACTAGATGTCACCCCGATTTTTGAAAGACACCGCCTCTGTCGCTCTCTCCTCATCCTGCGCCTGAAAAATCTTTGTGAAATAATCTGTTACCATGCCACTCACTCAGACACGATCAATAATCCACTCTCCTCCTTCCGTCTTTAACCCCATTATTTTATTTTTCCTCCACCTTTGCTTCACCGCATTATGAAAGAAACAGGAATTGATGTCCCATTCTTTCAACTAGAATTCTTTAGCCCTTTGTTTCCAGTACAAGTTCTCCTTCTCCATAAAAGTGCAAAGAGTGGCTCTTAATCTAATAAATTCAGTCGTACTATGATGGTCCTCTCTGCCTCTAAGCCAAGCTAGTCTACGCTTGCATGCCATAATCTGATGGCGAAATCCCCTCTTCTTACATGCATCCCA